TGATGTTGTTGTCCTTCGCAAGCGCTGCTGTCCGATACGTCATGTGGGATCCGTGACCGTCATAGACGAGCACTGTGGGCTGACCATCATGCTTCTTGGTGATCTCTGGGACGAAGATGGTCTGGAACCAGCTCTCGAATATGTTGCCCTCCATCCAGCCTGACGGTGTCGTCCCATAGGCCGTTCCTGGCGGTCCGCCACGCATCCACGAGTCAAAGGGCTCACGTTTGGCCTTGTAGACGACGAAGGGTGGGAAGTAGTTTCCAGTGGCGTTCACGCAGAAGAGGACGCTGTATGTCGCCTTACCACAGCTGGCCGTCTTCAGGTAGGCGTCACGGGACTTGCTGGGGACGATGACCCTTGTCGAGCGCGGATCGGTCGAGAGTCCCGTCTCATCGAGGTTGTAGATGTTGTCCGGCTTGTCCTCGAGTCCCAGGTCGACGAGCACCCCGTTGTACATGGAGAAGAAGGCGCCAACCACTTCCTCTGTCAGAGACTTGGCACGAGTGATGGTGAGGATCTCCGGTTTGCGCGACGCGAGGACACCGGCGTGACGAGCCTTGAAACGTGACAGCCAGAAGCGGGTGGGCCTGTTGTCCTTCCACTGCGTCTCTCTGCCGAGGTTGTTCAGGAACTGCTGGACCAGATCGCAGATGTCACTGGTGTCCAGTGGAAATGCTTGGCGGGCGAGGTAAGCGAGGATTTCCACCAGCTTGTCCTCTTCGGTCCTCGTCAGCACCGTCGGTCGCCCAGAGCCAGTGGAGCCGGTGACGTTGATGCCGAAGATGTGACGGCGGAGCGTCTCGTACGGCACGCCGGTGTCCTTGGCTGCCTTGTAGACGGTGAATCCATCCGCGACGAGCTTCTTCGCTCTGCCCAGATCTTCCTCCGTGTATTTCGGCATGACGATTGGTGCCACCTGACAAAAAAGAGGTCATTGTTTAATAATTCGTGCCAGGAATGTGCGCGTTTACACCAGTGCTTTTGAATCAATGACGACGATACTCGGCAGGCAGAGGCCCGCAGCTCAGGTCGGCAGGTCCTTCAGCAGGTCCCGTATGACCAAACATTACCCAATATATCAAGAGTTCTGAGGGCATACTAAATTGCGAACCGCTACAAACCAGAATGATTGCCTGATATAATTTTTTTTTTTTAAAAAAAGTTGAAATCAGATTGTAAGCAATACACAACAAATTATCACTGAAGGAGAATCCAAGACTAATGCCATTCAAAACTCACCAGTTTTTGCCGTATGCCAGCAGGACACGCGCACGAGACGACGATCAGTGCAAAAAGGACGCGAAAAGCTCAGCCGACCCTCGGAGTCACCTCTGTCGCCGGAAACGCCTCCTGATTGGTCGAGCCGGTGCTGGTCACGTGACAGGTCACAGTGCCATTTCCGGTGACTCCCGATTGGTGGAGAGGGCACTGGTGGTCGCAGATCACATGACGTCACATCCGGTTGTACGGTATTTCGCCAAAATGGCCAGGAGTAGATAAAGCAATTAATGTCACCGCTTAACTATAAAAAAATAAAATAATAATAAAAAATAAAGGAAAATGAAAAAGAAAAAAAAAGATCGGTGACTGAAGCTCAAGCAAATGAGAATCGACCGAAACGAGTTCCAACGCTTACCGTATCGCGCTTACAAATACGCTGCAGCGTCAGTCATTGTGGCCATCGAAGATGGCCGGTAGATCGTAATCATAACCAAAATAATCCCGGAAATGTCTTTGGGGGCGATATTTAGCAGGCGGTGGAGTAGCCATGCTCAAATTCACACTTTTCATACTATACTCATTTTTTGCAACACTTTGTGGAACTATACTCATTTTATAGAAATTTACAAATGCTAAAATTTTTGCATTACGCTTTCGAATTTTCGATTATTTTTTACGGCTGCCAGCAAGCTCAGTGCATGAGACAAACAGCTGAAAAGGTAAAATTATTTCAGCAGTGCACATATTTTCACCAGGCTTCACTTTTTAGCATGTACTTTTTGTGACATTTTTGAAAAAAGCATTCAATCATTTTTCAGACCAAAGTCGCTTGACATTTGGCGATGGACGTATTTGCAACTGTTGCAGTAGACCTTCGGACGCACTGTGTATTTTTTTCTTATTTTTGTTCAAAATAACTTTGGCGTAATGCACATTTTCCAAAACTATACTCATTTTTTGCGTATACTCATTTTAGGCTCACTACCCTACAAACACCTATCCTCGTGAGCCCACAGTCTCACGGCACCACATACGGCACCTCAGCCGGTATACAGCGGTGCACGGCACGCCGTGGGTCCAACAATTAACGGACCGGTGTCCACACGCCGGCACACACAGAACAGCCGGCGGCAGGGGCGGTCCGACTCCCGTCTCCTGTCAGCTGAGCAGTGCTCCGCCGACTGCAGACTGCTGTGATCTGCTCCTCGCTCATCAAAGAGCCGCCACAGTTACAGCTGAGCCAGCAGCTCGGGAGCTCTTGTCACTTGGAAGAGTCGGCTGAGATGTTTTCGTCCTTCATGAGCCGTGACTGGACGAGACGAAGTGCCGTGTCTGTGTTTATGAAAACATCTTCACCGCAGACCATTACCCCGGACCATCAGCCTCTCAGCGGTGACTGAAATCGTCACCGGCCGCCCGTGACCACTGTTGTCTCGCTCCTGATGGCTCACCGCTGCCGCTGTCCCGCCGCTGTTCCGCTGTCTCGCTACCAGGGATTTACCGCTGTGTCGCTTCTGTCCCGCTGTCCCGCCGCTTCCCCGCCGTCCCGCTCGCCGCCGTGCCCGCTGATCGGGGACGGAGCGTTCTCACGCCAGTTTCGCCGGCGGTGCGCCGAGCGGCTCAAATGACCGTCGGATGACGCCCGTTACGCGGCAATCCGCTGCGGACGGACGCGGCGGGAGACTGGACGGGTTCTCACTGAGCTGCACAGATCGGTCCGGCGATGCTGATGGGTTCCTACTAATGGTGGCTCCGGTTTTCGAGATCTTTTCTCTGGGCCTTGTTTCACGGCACGGCTGCTAGCCGCTACTAGCGGCATTGCGCTTCGGTGTCCATGGAATGATGGAAACATCAACAAACTTCATTGTGAGCGTCCGAGTTTGTTGAACCGAAAGCGCGGTAGCGCTAGTATCAGCTATCTTAGCCAAGCAACCGCCTGTGAAGCCTTTGAACTTTCAACCTCGAATGAGAAGCAAGGCGACCTCCTGGCTGGTACTGCACCTCAGTTCGTGAGTAATACATATCGGCTTTCAAGGGCTTGTTCGCTGGTATTCGATGCCAGCCTCCGTCGCGGTCCATTGGCCCCGGTTATGGTGACGTTCGCCAGTGACCTCAGGAGGGCGGGTTTCCGGCCCGATGGTGACCTCCCGAGTCCCGGCGAGCTCATGGCGACCTCCTGAGGACCTCTTTGGATGACCTCTGCACCACATGAATGATACGTGCGCTAGAATTTATGACCATTTGCATGTGAGTGTCGCGGCGGCGCCGGTCTCCGCTCACCATGTGGCGCTGTTCCCGGCTCCGCCTCCGCCTCAGTCCCGGGCCGGAATCTCGTGCCGGTCTCGTGACCAGGACACTCGCGCTGGGAAGAGTCCAATGGGAGGCGTTACGCTGCCAAACTGTGCGACATTGATTTCACCGCCGCCAGTGGGAGCTGTTGTCGCGCCATTCCCGCATAATGATCATAATGGGGTGCTGGGAAGCAGTCTCGTTTTGTGACAAGTGAGAAAGTTGCCGCATTATAAATCAGTGTAAATTGGTATTACGCCCGCGTTAGCTTTACTGAGGTGTTGACTGTTGGTGGGTGATTCCAATTTCACTTGAAGTTCATGTATGCTTGTGTTCGCTCCTCAACTATCCTGCCTCGACTTCTGTCCCACTGGCTTCCTGGCTGTCTGTCTAAAATGTTGGGTCAGGATAGCTCATAACTGGATAATGAGGAGCCCTTAGGCTGTAGGTTCACATAGCCCGTCAGCTGGACAGCGTAAAATGGCATATCTCAGGCTTATTAGCACTAGGCGCGCGGGTCGAATTCTGGTTTTAGATGTAGCTCACTGCTAGATTGACACGGAAAGCAAGACGGGGGCGGCCGAAATTCTAATGCGTTTCGTGATTGTGGTGGCTGACTGATGTCACGGACAAAACAGAAGACATGGTTTTACAAATACGGTTTCACAATTTGCGACATATACCGGGATGAGTCTGTCGCTTATCGCGTGACTTCAACACGCTTTATTGTATGGTATCAACAAATTAAGTAAGTCGCTGGCATTGCGGTGGGGAAATGACGCATCTCTTCTTTGAATGTGCCATGATTAAGAGTTATGTCTTCGCTGGTAACGTATGCTAGGATCAGTAGATCTGACAAGCGTGCACAATGTACAGCTTTGGCGGTAACACCTGTGATAATTTCTGTCCTTCAATTACGTGTCAACGTGTTCAAGGAAGCTACTTAGCTGCCTGGGCATATTGCGTCCATTTATATTGCATTAGTTCGTCTTCCAGCGTTCCCGGAGCTGCTCATAGTTGGAATATCTGATGTATTTACACAATGACCCCCTGTTCTGCCCGGATCTTTTCCTGCTGCGTGCGGTCAGCCACCTGCTGTCGGTGGTCGGTCCGGCCGCTCCGGTGACCGCTCACCTCCCCGACCGCACTGCCGTGTCCCGGACCGGCGCCGGCAGCACGCGCACCACCCTGAGGTCGCGCTGGTCACACCAGGCCGTGACCCGGTCAGTTCACCGGCTAACGGGTCTGGTGTCATCACTGCTACCGCCGGCTGACCGGTGCAGGGCCCAGGTTTTAACGTGTGCATTAACTCAGCGAGCCATGACCGCGGACAGCGTCAGGTGCCGGCCGGTGCCCGCTAATCCGTGGTTATTTGTACACAGACATACATACAAACACGGACTCACGGCGACAGATGGCACCTGCCGGCAAGCGGGCGGTCGGCGACTCGGGACGGTGGTGATAAGGGTCATGTTTGTGTGTTGCAGGTGGGCGGCTTCGACCGTGATGACGCGGATGAACAACATACCGTCTGAGGAGGATCCCGGGACTGCGGTACCGGCGCTCATCCCCTACTGGGACCTGTGCAACCACTCCAACGGACGGGTCAGTTGTCCCACCCCTCCCCACCCCTCCCAACCCAACCCCTCCCCTCCCCTACTGGGACCTGTGCAACCACTCCAACGGACGGGTCAGTTGTCCTACCTCCCCCAAACCCCACCCCTACTGGGGTGGACGGGTCAGTTGTCCCACCCCTTCCCAGCATTGCTACAACCATTTCTCCCAGCGTAGTTTCTGCTCAGTCACTAGCGACAAATATGTGTATGGGTCATAGGGCCCACCCCCGCCTATGATCGCCGACCCGTGGCCGCGGCTGGTGGCGCGTGTCGTCTCTGTCCGTGCAGCCTGTGCCGCCCACACGGGGCTGTCCCTGTGCCGCCGATCTCCGCCCGGCCGCCGCTCGTGACTCGCAGTCGCTGTCAGTGCCGCCGGCCGGCGCACGTGGCTGGCCATGCCTTATCGACAACGTCCGGGCGTATTGTCCTGTTGTCGGCTGCTGTTCGGGGGCTACCTGTCATCGCTCTGGAACTCCATTGTTTGGCCCTGGGTATGACCAGTGACCACCCACCCTGGTGTCTGTCGCGGTTCGTTTAGAGGCCAGAATTTACCCCGTTACTGTAATCGCCCACACAGTAGTCTAGATCTAACCGTGATATATCCCTTTCTGAATCACTCTCCATTTCCTGTGGCACTCCTGTGTCCCGTCACAGACTGTGACGCTCCCGTGCCTTGTGACAGCTTCTGACACCCTGACAGTGTTGCAGTGATGTGCCCAGTGACAGCCCGCGACGCTTCTGGCAGTGTGACAGTCATGTGTCCCGCCAACTTGGGTACTACGCGCCCTGCCACAGCCCCTGACCCCCTCTGACAGTGTGACAGTCATGTTCCCCGTGCCACCCTATCTGACGGTGTGCCCCCTTGGCCAGGTGTCGACCGACTACTGCCACGACCCGCCCAGCTCCATATGTTTCGCCTTCCGCGACTTCGCGCCCGGCGAGCAGTTCCACATCTTCTACGGAGTCCGACCGAACGCGGAGTTCCTGCTCCACAACGGGTGAGTTGACTGCGCGCTGACCTCAGCACAGCGCAGGGGAGATGGGGCGGAACGGTGCAGGGCGCTGCGAGAAGTGAGAACTGATTGATTTGAACACGAAATGCAAAACACGCCAGAAGTTCATAATGTTGAAATCAGAGAACAATCTGGGGTTCTTTAAGTGAAACTGGTGACGGAGTGTGGTATTTTCGGCCGGGTTACGGGTGACCCTGGGCGCAGTTTTCTCCGGTGTTTCAGTCTGCCCCTTCCCTCCGCTGTCCGCCCGGTGTGGGGCGCCGTGGACCGTGACCAGTGTGCCCCCCGGCCGCCGCCCCTGCCGTGAGGGGACCACTTTCTCACCGGCTGCCCGCCGACCGGTCCGCTAACGTTTTCCGTCATTGGCATTACTTCCGCGCTCTCCGGGGATGGAGCGTTGGCCAACGGTCGCTTTCGATCTCCTCCGGCTGCGCCTGAGTGCGCGCCGCGCCGACCTCTGGGGGACGGGGTCGGCCACGCGTGTCGGACCGCCCGAGGGGATGACGGTGGCGGTGACGGCTGCGCGATGACGACTCGGTGACGGCGGCGCGATGACTGCGGCGGGTAGCGATAAGTCGGCGATGGCATGACATGATGTGGAGATGGTGATCTCAATGTTTTGGTGTATTCATAAATAGCCAAATGGGAACGTAAGATCTATTACCTGTCTCTCAATGGTCACAATAGTGAACAGCTTTGTGAAATGGTAAGTTGAACAACTAAAATCGTTTTGACATTCATTTGACAATTGACATTCATTTCTCATCAGCCGACAGCTTTTGTTCGCAAATGAATTTAAGTATAAGCCATTTGAATAGACAAATAGCGGTTGTGGCTGCCGTAGTCCAACGGTTCATAGGTATTGCGTGGGTCAGGCAGGCTCGTGCCAGTGTACTGCGCGCAGTTCCAGTCCGAATATTGGGCATGCCCCGCTGAGCGCGGCACCGGGCACGCCCGGCACGGCCAGACCTCCGTGTCAACACGCCGTACCGGGACCGTCAGTTTAATTAAAGGCTGCCGGGCCCGGGACCAATAAAGACCTGCAACCGGTGGAATTGGTCTGTGTGAAATGTCACGCCAGGCGCCTAGTTCGTGGTCCGAGAGTCGGGGGCGGACAAGGCCGTGGAAGGCCGGTGGCGGGCCGACCCCGCCCTCCCCTCACTCACACTCTCGGCGGCGGTGAGGGAGACGGCGCTCGGTCCGAGTTTCACCGCGGACCGTGGGCAGCGGCCGTCGATAGCCCCCGTAATGACCGGGCACACTCGAGTGGGCGGGAGAGGGGCTGTTGGTCACGGGTCGGGGGTCGCGGCGGAGCCGCCGGGTCAGGAGAGGGTTACATAACCTAGCCGCGAACAGTTTGGGTACTGTATACTCGCCAGAATGTGTATAGTCACTGCACGCTGGACTCAATTCTCATTAGGTAGTGATATGGCGATAATTGGTCCGTTTTCTCCGTGTGCTTGCCAGTAGCATGGCTTGCTACTGGCACAGCGGCGGGCAAATGAATGAAACAACGCCGGCGTCCATACCCACGGCGCTCTCCCGACACGATGACCGGCCGTTAATCCGTGACAGCCCGAACTGGTTCGGTCAACTCTCTCTTTCTCCGTGTTTCCCGGGTCCGTGACCAACTGTCTCCCGGCATGCCTATATTGATAGTTTTTAATGTCTCTACCGAGGCTGTAGAACTGTCTTTGCTGGGATTCCAACGCCAAAGTTCAGTGAGAAACATTTGCGATATGTGAATTTGTTTAATTTTAATATACTGCATGTGGCAGGTGTCGTGCCTGAGCGTTTTAGGTTGCCAGTCCATCCGGGCCTAAGGCCTTTTCACCATGTCCGTCCTGCTCTGACCCTCTCCCCTGCCCCTCCTCCCCGCACATCCGCGCCCGTCCCACCGCGTCACCTCTAACCCTCCCTCCCCTCCCCTCCCCAGGTTCGTCGACGCCGACAACGAGCACGACGCGGTGGCGGTACGTCTGGGAGTGAGCCGCGGCGACCCGCTGCACGAGCCGCGCGCCCGCCTCCTGGAGCGGCTGGGCGTGCCGGCCAGCGGCCTGTTCTACCTGCACCGCGAGGGCTCGCCCATCGACGGATCACTCTTTACCTTCCTCAGGGTGTTCAACATGGACGCCGGTGAGACGCGGCGCGGACTCAATGGGTTTCGAGTGGAATGGAGCGAATGTGGTATGGGGACGGGTTACGAACTCCCTCAGCCGGACGGAGACAGGATAGGAAACTGAGTCTGTATAAGTTATTCATTTCGAAGATGAAGTGTGGTATGTAGCGTTAGTTATAGTAGCCGTCATTTGAAGATTGTGCGTCATAATTTCCAGAGCCGTTGTCTGTGCAAGTTCTGCGTCTTATTGCGTAGCTCTCTCACGGTATATCTCCATCCTCACACCCGTCTGTACGACAGAGACGCTGGAGCACTGGCTGCGTGTGGATAACGTGGGCGACCTGGGCTCGGAGCAGTGTGACGGCCTGCCGGCCGGCCTGCAGCTGGCCGCCTGGCGGTTCCTGCACACGCGCGTCACGCTCCTGCTGCGCCTGTACCCGGGCACGGCCGAGGCCGACCGCGCGCTGCTGGCCGCTCCGCCTGCGCCGCCGCCGGAGGGCGCCGCCGACGCGCCGCCGCCGCTGACGCCGCGCGCCCGGATGGCCGTCACCCTTCGGCTCGGCGAAAAGCTGATCCTGCAGCGCGCGCTCCGCTTCGCCACCGACAAAATGCACGAGCAGGAGCTGCTCGACCAGGAGCTGAAGAGCCAGGAGATTCAGGAGCCCGTCGAGCAGTAGCGGTCAGACTATCCTGCGCTACGGATTCCCCACTGCCCAGAACTAACGGAGATGGCCCATGATTGTCCGCCGCTGAGGTGCGTGGACAGGGGTGGGGATGCGGGAACCGTCACAAAAGGGAGATACCAGGGGAGTTCCTGTGATGGTATTTTTCGGCTCAGAGTTTGTACAGTCAGGGGGTTGTTTCGGTGCTGGGAAGGCAAGGTCCGTCCAGGCCCTGAGCTCGCTGTGGAAAGGTGCTTGTTCTCGGATGTTTTTTGTGGTCTGTTGGTGACTAGTCTTCTGAGGTCTCCCGGCTGGCCTTCGCCCTGACGCGACATGCCTTGGACGGCAGACAGGGTGTGGGGTGGTTGTGATGGCATGGGAGGAGAGAATTGTTAATAACGCCCAGGGGGCTCTTTGGCCCGAATAGGATCCTTTAACGAGTCAGCCGGGTCACATTCGAGGAGTAACACAGCGTGTTGCCTACTTAATGGTGCGCCGAGAGCGATTTTGGGGCTCAGTCGGCCGGAGGGTAGAGATCTGAGGGCATTGCACGCTGCCCGGCCAGATCTGAGGGCATTCGGACGTTAGTTACCTGATTGTGCCGCGGCAGTTCCCGGTCACTAACTCTACTTACAAACGCGCAGTATTAGGGTGGACGGGTCGCGCGGACGGCGCGCAGGGGGAGAGAGAGAGCGCTACCAAAGAGGGAGCAGAGCCGCCGCTCACGGCCAGTCGTCCCGCCGGCAGGAACCTCAGCTCAATCGGCCGCCGGGCGGGCCCGCCGCGCGGTCACCAGTCAACTGAAAATACTCGCCGGGCCCCATGTGTGATAATACTAAACCGTAAAAACCGTGTGCTGTGGGCCACTGGGCCTCAAGTGCAATGCTGTGTCTTCTCGAGTGTGCGTGTGCGTGTGTTATTTACCGTGTTGTGCGCCAGTTGGTGCGGGCGTTGTTGCCGCAAAGCAAAATAAATACTCAGGCATTGACACGTGTTGTTTATTCGCCTCCGCTCGGTACACATGGTTAGGAATCAATGATAAAATCGGGACAGGAGCGGCCGCCGCCGCCGCGCAGACGGAGATTTTTACCGGGGACCGCGTCCCGGCTGAGTCCGAGTCGCGTCAGTCGCGTCATCAACAGCCAACGTGCGCGCGTGTGCTGCGCCGGCCGGCCGGAGGGCGCCGAGTCGTGTCACCCGTCCGCGGCGCCGTGGGGCCAACCGGCGCCGGTCTCCAGACATATAACACTACGCGGCCGCCGCCGGCGCGCCCGTGCGGCCAACTCAGTCTACCACCAACCGAGGGAGAGCGGCAGGACGGAGACACCGCCCGCGACACGACTAAAACAACACGAGCGCGAGTCCAGGAGGCAAAAGAATTACGAAACTTTAATTGGAATTGGCACGCGCACACACAACATATATGAAGCGGGTGGCGATCGCTCGATCTGGTCGGGCCGCCGGCTCTGCGGCGGGTGCACTGCGTGCGGGGCCGGCCGGCCACACATATATCGCTCCTCTGGGCCGGGCGCGCCGGCGTCGCTCTAAGTGAAGGGGTGTGGAGAGCCGTCCGCGGCGAACTAACCCAGCGCTGAAACACGGCCCGAGCGGTTTATTCAGTCATCTGCCACATGGTTACATGAACGGACGGCGGTGGGATCAACGCACAGCAGCTGCATTAGAGCACGAAAGAGTGGATACATGGACGCGACAATTACCATACGAGCAAATCGTGAGACAGGCAACCACGTTCTGTGACATTTGTGGATTAATAGGAGCAGGATGCACAGGAAGCGCCTACTTTTTATTCTAATCAAGCAAAAGTGGGAAATGCAAGCATGAGTTCACGAAGAAAAATACAATGTTTTCACATCTACCGGGTTACAGCGAAGCACCCGACTATAAGCGGTCTAATGGCGGACACAGCCAGCCGAGCGGCTGGTCCGCGTTAGAAGGCCTCACCGGCCAGCGCCTCGGACGCGTAGAATTTGACGTCGAAGTCGGTGTCGGTGTTCAGCTTGTCCAGCACCGGCTTCACCTGGGTCTGGGCCACGCTGCAAACAGGGATAACAGTGTCACTACCTGTTGATGTCACCGGCTTCACCCGGGGCTGGGCCACACTGCCAACAGGACGGCATGGTCACTGACTTCCAATGACACCTAACTTTTGCGAACTCCCGACAGTTTCTCTGAGACACAACAGCTTGAACCTGGCTGTTGCTTTCCTCGACCGACTCCTACCCAAGAGATGGCAGTAACTGGGGAGTGTTCGCTCGGTCGTGGGGATTACCGCTGTGCCAGCCAGCGCCCCCGGCCGCAGGTACACGGGCCTGATCCGCCTTTAAACAGATCCTTCGGTCCGGTGACATGTCCCAAGGGCACGGCCTCGCTTCATGTCCCGGAGCAGCCCTCTGACCTGCCGGGCCCGAGAAATCGGGATAGCCCCAGCGTGCGCACCAGTGCGGTGCCACCTGGGGTGCGTGACAGGAAGCGTGCGGTCAAGGCTGTCTCGCGTAGCTGGTGCCGAAAACGATTCGTACCACTGCCGTGTATATAGTGTACTAACCCAGTATGAATGTGTGCTACTAACGACAAAAAAGCCCGAGTCGGGCACCAAAAATATTAAAAAAAAAGAACCTGGCTGTTGCACATGCGACATACCCCAGCGTACCCATCTCACATTCTCCCCATCCCGCTCCCTTCCAGCCCACTGCTGCCTCTGCCGCTGCCGCTGCCGGCTCACCTGCTGTCCAGGATGGGTCCCATGCGCTGCAGGGTCTTGGCCACGTTGAAGCGCACGTTGGCCACGCGGTCTCCGGCCATGCCGAGCACGGTGGGCAGCATCAGCTTCACCGTCATCTCGGGCCCGCAGGCCTCCGACAGAACCTGCCGTACCACAGGGAGGGGAGGGGGCGGGTTGGTGTTAGACGTGGGTAGAGCCAGATAGGAGAGCATCTGAGTCAGCGGTAACGTCTCACGTAAATTCTACGGGAGCATAGCTGATGACGTGGCATCGCTATCAGACCAAGGTATACGGCACTGCTATCAGACTGTTAAGCCTATTATTAGGTCGACCTCCCGGCCATTTCATATCAATTCTTATCATTTGCTCCCAGCAATCTAGCTTTGCCGACCTTTCAACAGCATCTCTCCCTATCACGCACTTCAGAGTTCCCGATCAACAAACTACCCGACAAATGGACTAGCCCCTTTTTTGACAGGCATCTAGCTGACCTCAGAGCAGACCGGTCTCATTGATCCAGCCATCCAGCGCCGCTCAAAACTCAGCCCCCGCTCCCCCCTCCCCCCCCCCCCCCCACACACACACGCTCGCTCAGCACGACCGCCCGCCCGCCCGCTCAATAAGCGTGTCCCTCTGACTCACGTTGATGCAGAACAGGCAGGTCATGCGATGCAGGTAGTTCTGGTCGCGCGCCATGGCGACCACCTTGGGAATGACGCCGTTCTGCGCCCACTCGGCGCCGAACTTCTCCACCAGCTTCTTGAGGTTCAGCGTGGCCGCCTCCCTAATGGCGAACACGTGGTCCACCAGCCACGTCATGCACAGCTGGTTCAGCTTCTCGTCGAAGAACTCGACGCCCAGCTGGCCGGCCAGCAGCGGCATGTAGTTGATGATGGCCAGCCGGACGCGCCACTTGGTGTCCTCAGCGAGCTCCACAATGGCCGGCAGCAGCGACTGGGACAGCTGCGGGCGGCGGGGCAGGGGCAGGTACAGTCACAGAGAGAAGACAGAGACGATGATTCTCCTCGGCAGCCAAAAGGACCACATTACGGAGCACAGCATTTGTTTGTAAAATATTTACCCTGCCCAGCGATGATATAAGGAAAGTGTTGAGGGAAAAGTGGACAACTGAGACTTTTCGACTCGAACAAACATGCAATACAGCCAATATTTATACGCAAAAGAAATATGACGTCTTAGCATTTACATGGTAAACTCATGTTTGAAATGTTCTTCGTGAATCATGCCCGTGCTATTCCGCGACACTAGCGCCAACCAGTCACTGGAGACCGTGGCTGCCGCCGTACCTGCTGGATGCCGATGACCTCGTTGACGCAGTCCACGTTGGAGATGATGTTGAGTCGCACCTCGGGGCACTCGTCCTTCAGCTGCGTGAGGAACAGCGGCAGCAGGTGCTCCACCGTGTTGTTCTTGCCCAGGATCGGCGACAGGCCCATGATGACGCCGGCCAGCGCCGACTTGACGTGCTGGTTGGCGTCCGACACCAGCTCCTGGGGGGCGGCGCGCGGCGGCGTCAGACACGGCGCAGTCACCATAGCTCGGCGTACTACAGCAGACACGGGCAGCTCGGACAACCGCAGTGAAGAGAGACCATCGAGGACACCAAACACTGTAGATTAGATAAAGAGTCTTTTACAGAAGTGCAAATATGCTAATAGATATTGCAAAGAAACCCAGCACACATTGTGTTCCTCAATTGTGTGCCTCTCTACCCCGCAGTTCTAGACCGGAGGCCTTCCCACTATTCCCCCCCCCCCCCACACACACACTCCTCGGTCACTCACGGTGACGCAGGGCAGGATGTTGGTGACGATCTGCGTCTCGCGGGTGGCCGGCGCCAGATTCTGGCAGAAGTCCTTGACCTTCTGGGCGGCTGCGGCGCGCACCTCGGCCTCACAGTCCTTCAGCAGCGACTGGAAGGCCGGCACCAGGTCCACTGTGGTGATCTCCGGGCCGACGGCCGCCTGTAGCTCCGTGAAGTGGTCGGCCACCATGTACCTGCGGCGGCGGCACGGGCGAGGGTCACACACGGGACAAAGACGGGGCAGGGCAGGGTCGGCCGAAAAGACATGGGGGCCATCGTCTACCGACGAAAAGTACAGCGATGATGTGTCTGAATCTCAAGGGCGCCAAGTAATCATGAATTGACCGCGGCAGCTGCTGGGACGAGAGACTCACGCCACATCCATGAAACCCACTTGGCTTCCTCACACCGTGTCATCTCGCTAATTGACAGAGTCCGTTCCGTCACTAACTACTGACCTGACGCGCCACGACTGATCCTCGGCGCAGTGTTTGAGTGTGGGCATCACCAGGGCCTCGGTGTCTGCCTGGGGCAGTAGCGAGGCGATACTGACGCAGGCCTCGACCGCCAGCAGGCGGACAGAGTCCTGGCGACAGACGGGAGCGGGTGTTAATGGTCCGTAGTAGCCGAAATCTGAGCAGACGGACAGAGCTCTGTCCAAGGAGGGCGGGCTCAAACGGCCTATTGGCAAAAGGACGGCGCGCTAGGCGATGGGGCAAAAGCGACACCGCAAAACACTGTAAGAAGCTGGTAGTTACTGCGGACTTGAAGTCCGCCGTAATTACCATGTTGCCAAGCCCACAAGTTTCATAAAAGCAGAGTAATATGTCAGTCAGCCGCAATCGACGAATAACACCTTATCCCCAGGGTTCCCCAGTTAACACCAGAGCATCACCCCCTCAATATTAACCCCTCCCTCCCCTGGCACACCTCTGCCCGCTCCGTCCTCACCTGCTCGTCGCCGGCCAGCTCGACGAACATGGGGATCACCTCGGACTTGAGGTGCTCCGAGCCCACCGCCTTGGCGAACTCGCCCAGCTTGCTGGCGGCGGCGCGGCGCACCATCGGCGTGTCGTCCTGACACAGGTTACGGAAGTTGACGCGCAGCTCCGCTGTCGAGACAGGCGCCGAAGTGAATAGACCAGTATAACGCCTTTTGAGGCGACTAACGGAGCGAGCGAGAGGGTGGGCCTTGCACGTGCGAAATTGCGAGGGGGTACCTCCAACTGACTTGTGCACGGCACCCTACTAACCGGTCTCTAGCGATGTGCCAAATTTGGGCACAATCGGCCCAGCCGTTCTCGAGATCTGGAAGCGGCACCCTGCACGTGCGCACGTGCAAAATGGGTCCCAACTGACTTGTGCACGGCACCCTACTAACCGGTCCCTAACTGTGTACCAAATTTGAGCGCAATCGGTCGAGCCGTTCTCGAGATCTGGAAACGACCCCTGCACGTGCGCACGTGCAGCAGCACCCCAACTCTGGCACATGGATATGCAGGGCCTAGTGGGTGCCTACCTACATGCCAACTTTCAGCGCAATCGGCCAAGTAGTTACCGAGATATTGCAACAATTACAAAACTGACACCTCTTCGTTTTGCACGTGGCACGTGCATAAGGGGTCACCCACATGCATCGGGAATAGTCCAATACTTGGTAGAAGGAATGAAGCTACCCTACAAAATTTACCGCATGTAAATCGGTCAAGTGGTTGCTGAGATATAAGCCTCGCAAAAGCGTCCGCACGGCCGGCCGGCCGGCCGGCCGGCCGCTCATACTCAGAAATTTCCGTTAATCTAAGGAAAGACTACGCTCGCTTCGCTCGCTCCGTAACAACCAGTATAGCGCCTTTTGGGGCGACTAACGGAGCGAGCGAGGGGGTGTGTCTTGCACGTGCGAAATTTCGAGGGGGTACCTCCAACTGACTTGTGCACGGCACCCTACTGACCGGTTTCTAGCGATGTGCCAAATTTGAGCACAATCGGCCCAGCCGTTCTCGAGATCTGGGAGCGGCACCCTGCACGTGCGCACGTGCAAAATGGGTCCCAACTGACTTGTGCACGGCACCCTACTAACTGGTCCCTAACCGTGTACCAAATTTGAGGGCCATCGGTCCAGCCGTTCTCGAGATCTGGAAACGACCCCTGCACGTGCGCACGTGCAGCAGCACCCCAACTCTGGCACATGGATATGCAGTGCCTAGTGGGTGCCTACCTACATGCCAACTTTCAGCGCAATCGGCCAAGTAGTTACCGAGATATTGCAACAATTACAAAACTGACACCTCTTCGTTTTGCACGTGGCACGTGCATAAGGGGTCACCCACATGCATCGGGAATAGTCCAATACTTGGTAGAAGGAATGAAGCTACCCTACAAAAATTACCGCGTGTAAATCGGTCAAGTGGTTGCTGAGATATAAGCCTCGCAAAAGCGTCCGCACGGCCGGCCGGCCGGCCGGCCGGCCGCTCATACTCAGAAATTTCCGTTAATCTAAGGAAAGACTCCGCTCGCTTCGCTCGCTCCGTAATAAGTCAGAGGATGGTATTGGTTAGTGATTTCAGCAAACACTGGGGCTCAGAGGCTATGCACCAGTGGTACCTAATTGATGAACAGTGAATGATAGATCATTAAACGAAAATGACCGGGAAAAGATTCTCTTCGGGTTCGATGCACACGTGGGCACCATGAGCACTGGCATCAGTCAGCGTTTTAACAAGTCCAAAGAACCCACTGACACATGGATTCAGTCACATCTCCCTATACCCTCCAAAGCCGGTGCCCAACCCCTGGTCGGTCGGGCGGCGGTCGCACCTTTGAGTTTGTCGTTGCAGCGCGGGTAGCAGACGGCGAACAGCCCGCAGCTGGAGGTGCGCGACGTGAACCAGTCGCCCGAGGCCAGCCGCTTCACTAGCGGCACAAAGTGCGACTCCAGGTCGGCCGTGCTGTGCTGGTGCGAGATGGTGCGCAGCGACTCGACCGCCTTGTCGCGCACCACCGTCTCCTCCACCTGCGCCAAAGACTCCAGCGCCGGCTGTGTAGGACAGGGGAGGGGAGAGTCAGTTACACTGAACACACCGTCTCCTCCACCTGGGCCAGGGACTCCAGCGCCGGCTGTATAGGGCAGGGGAGGGGACAGTCAGTCACACTCAACACACCGTCTCCACCTGCGCCAGGGACTCCAGCGCCGGCTGTGTAGGACAGGGGACAGTCAGTTACACTGAACACACCGTCTCCACCTGCGCCAGGGACTCCAGCGCCGGCTGTGTAGGACAGGGGACAGTCAGTTACACTGAACACACCGTCTCCACCTGCGCCAGGGACTCCAGCGCCGGCTGTGTAGGACAGGGGACAGTCAGTTACACTGAACACACCGTCTCCACCTGCGCCAGGGACTCCAGCGCCGGCTGTGTAGGACAGGGGACAGTCAGTTACACTGAACACACCGTCTCCACCTGCGCCAGGGACTCCAGCGCCGGCTGTGTAGGACAGGGGACAGTCAGTCACACTGAACACACCGGCTCCTCCACCTGCGCCAGGGACTCCAGCGCCGGCTGTGTAGGGCAGGGGACAGTCAGTTACACTGAACACACCGTCTCCACCTGCGCCAGGGACTCCAGCGCCGGCTGTGTAGGACAGGGGACAGTCAGTCACACTGAACACACCGTCTCCACCTGGGCCAGAGACTCCAGCGCGGTAATGGGTTTTCTGGTCAGTTACACTCACCAGTCAAGACACCATCCCTCCACCTGGGCCATATGAACTGGGTCCTGGGCAGACAGAGTAGTGAGTAACTACTGAAATTCTCACCAAGACTTGGAGAAGCCCACCAGGACCGAGCACCTACTCACCAGGAGACAGTAGACGAACTCGGGGCCGCCGACCAGCTTCGTGAAGTTGCCGAGCTGCTCGGCCAGCGCCAGCAGCACCTCGTCCTCGTCGTAGATGGTCTCCGTCAGGAAGGGGATCAGCTCGTTCCGGGTGCGCTCCACGCCCAGCGCCAGCGCGATCGTCGACAGCTTCTTCACAGAGTTCAGCCGCAGCTGCGGACGGACACGGAGGCGCGTCAGTGGCGGGATAACTGTGTGTGAGGCTAGTAGGGCAGGCTGAGACTTTATCTGAGAGAAAATAATAATGGCTGTCCTATTCATTTCTACAGTTAGCTTTCTTGGGTGCAGCCAGCATCTTGAAGAACCAAGACTATCACAAATTGCTTTAAAATGTCCTACTCCTGACCTGATCTATTTGCCAGTGGCCTAACCTGAGGGGAATGGGTTAGTGGAGTAATACCACTGACATGTTGTCCTCCAGGAGTTGGAGCAGATAATGGACCCACCATAAGAGTATCTACAATCAATGCTGGCAAATAAATAGTGCTTAGAAACAGTAAGACTAGGCATTCGAGTACCAGTGGCCTATCCACAATAACAGCTACACTACTTGGTGAATCCAAAATTTGAAATGTTGAGCACTTTTTTAAAAAAACCACCTGATAGCATGGCAGTCCATGACAACACATAAAATACAGGCTCCACAAGCTTATTATGAATGCTGTTTAAGAAAACATGAAGCAAATAAAATAATATGAAGGACTTGGTCAAGGTATGCATAATGCTACAAAAATGCCTGACAGGGTGAAGTTAACTGAGCCAGAACAAGAACAGAAGGGCAAGCTGTCATTTTGACATGGGAAATTATGACTGCAAGGTGTGTCTTTCATTTCAGTGCCTGTAGCTAATTCATGCTAACTAATGATGTCCCTAATGCAGACACACCCTGAACAGAGACATATTGATTATTTTCAATCTGGCTGTACAAAACCAGACTGTGTTCAGGAATGGAAAGAAATAAGACAACGTCCAGGAACTACCAGAGGTATGATTTGATACCAATGCTTGCAATCTTAGGTAAAACAAAAATCAAAATACCATTTACAGATATGAAATGGCTAACTTCTCCTTTAGGTATAGTAAACTCTATGTCCTGAGCTTGATCTGTCATAACGCAATGTGGCTTGAAAGAGAGAATGAGCTTATTACTTGAAAGAGAGAATAAGCTTATTATACATTCCCAGCCAATAGCAACCACAGATAGATTTGTGTGAATACCTGCCTACAGCCTTTACTAGGTGTCTCCTAAAGTAGTGTGAACCTTAACGAACATAAGATTCAATTAAAAGAAATAACATTTCCAAAACATGATTCACCTTCAAATGATCCATTGAATTCATACTCAAAATTCATATCAATACAAGTTGAAGTAGTAAATTCCTGCCACAAGACCACACCTCGACCTACCACACTAATAGTCACGTTTACATAGCATTTTTGACAACGCTCTAGCTCATTTATTACGCGATAATTTTGATGCAGTGATTTTCGCATAATTAGAGGGAATTTTGTTAATTGTAAGGCACCATTGGCATCTTTTGCAACATAACAGGCGGAGCTATAAGCTTGCAACTATCCCAATGTAAACGAGGCTAATGACACGTCAGTCACTGCCGAGCATTTCTTCCTCAAAATTAGCGCTCAGCATACGCAACCTACCATCCATCAGCCCAAAAAAAATTAGTTATTTTTTGTTAACATTATTATTAACATTATAACCTGAATGTTACATTTCAACATCAAACTATTGTCATTCAGATTGAATAGTGCAAAAGTCACTATTAAGTAGGCGGAAGTAAGCTCACCTGCACATCTTCATTGCGTAGCTCATCAATGAGCACCGCAATGGGATAAAGGGATTCATCTCCGGTTGATTCTGCAGTAGACATTTTAGCAATCGTTGCGGCCTGATAATTAAATTATTTAACCTGCAAAAATTATCGAATCACGCCCAAATTCAGAAAGAACACCCGTCAGATCCGAACTTCTCTACAAACGTTGCGCGATGCGCAGAGTTTGATTCATTTGATCCTTTCAAGGAATAGCTTATTCGTGCTTCTTGCTATTTCTATGAAGTTGTTTTACATGACGTCATTCAGAATATTCTGATAGAATTTATTTAGTATTTATTCCATAAATGCAACGTTTTGGTCAGTTTCATGAAAAAAATCGCAAAAGTGTCTAATTTTTTGAGTTTCCTTCATTTTTAATAACAATGATAAAAAAATTTAAATGACGTCATAGTGAGAAATTGAACAAAAAATATCAAAACGTTTTTATTTCTATGATCAAAACAACTTTTTTTGTTCATGACGTCATGTTGATAACAGAGGCAGGTATGACGTCAATCAATGGAACGGGCGCTCGAGAATTATGATAATGATACGGCATTGATGAAAGCGGATGACAAAGCCCTAAAATCAGTTAATGCCATATCACATATGCTCTTAGTAGACAAACGTCAAGTTCATCGATCCATCTGATTACCTTCATCTAACGTGAAAGTTTATCGAAAAAATGCCTGGTTATCGTGTCCTCCTAAAACACTAAGGAGAATGACGATGAGACCCAATGCGTCGCTCATACTGCACCACAGATGGCTAAATGACCATCACAGGGACAACTGCAGCATTGAGATCCGTGGGATCCTCCAACTACAACTATCCCTGTCGGCAGTCACTCGTCGTCACATACACCTCGTTTCACCGTTATTTATTTATTTCCAGGTCCTTGAAGCGTTCTCAGACACACCAGAGTCGGGCTCATGCCGCAGACACACCCACTCGCACGCTGCACTACCGAAAGGTGGAGGTCCGCGCGCGGGCTCTAGGCGTAGGTACAGCGGGCGGGGCGCGCGGCGCGGCGCCGGGGCGGGGAGGGCGGCCGTCTGACTAGCGGCGGGCTCAGCGCGCGCGGCGCCAGCACGCCGCGCGACCAGCCCCGTTCCTGACCTCCTCAGCGGTTCCGCGCGGGAACCGGGGGCAGGAGCGCGCCGGCGCACAAGCTATCCAGTCAAACACTACTTAATATATTGCATGCCTGACACCTCGAGCACACAGGACCGAACACTAGAGACGATATAATTTCCCATGTAAAATACTAGATTCTCGCTCGCTCGCTCGCTCTCACTCTCACTGACGGGCGCGCGCGCCCTCCCACTCTGCGTGCCCCGAATGCCGTAGTTGCAGAAGCAGCTGCCGCGACGCGGACATTCACCAAGCCGGGCTGGGCGCCGCGCCCACACACACGGCCAGCGGCCGGCAGCGCCGCCTGACGCCAATATGTATATGTAAAACGTGTGCATACTCGCGGCGCGGCGGCCGCCGCCGGGCGGCTCGGGCCGCCCCAGCCGGCCGGGCGGCGCCACCTACCGTATTAGATGCCTAGGAATCGATCAGACAGCAGCGCGACGGCGCCCCGCTAGTCTCAGAACGAACGAGAAATCAACGGCGCGGCGGCGGCGGCGGGTGGCGCGGCACGCCGCCCCCCGTGGTGGCAGTGCTCGGAACCGACGCACACACGCGCGCGCGCACACACGGGCACAACGAGAGAGACGCGCGGCGCGCGGCCGCGACACGCGGCGCAGAAGCGGAGTCGGCCGGCCGGTCGGCCGGCGCGCGGCTTGGCGGCGTCTACTTCTTCTTCAGCGTGAAGAAGGAGCGCTTCTTGGGCTCTGGGTCGTGTGAGGAGGCGGGCAGCGTCTTGGACGACTTGGCGGGCGCGGCGGCGGCTCCGCCGAGCGCGGCGCAGACCTCCTCGATGGCGGCCACCCACTGGTTCATCTCAGTGTCGTCCCGCGCCTGGTACAGGTACTCGCCGCCGGTGGGCAGCCTGGCGGCACACACACACACAGACACGACGGGTCAGCAGCGATCACTGACACAGTCTTGATATATCGTTACCGCGTGAGAATAGAGCCAGCATGACGCATAAGATAAAAATGTAGGACGCGGTCAACAACTCATGAGAAAATCAGCTCACAACCACGGGCACAAATTCAGCATTAGGCATTCACATATTCAGCATCAGGCCTAGTTATAATTAGGGCATTTAACAAGCTCCACGCACACCTCTGACTCAACGACTACGTGTTGAAACTCACTTGAGCCTGAAGACGTGTTTCTTTTTGCTGTAGTCGGTGGCCACGACCGCCTTGGCGTCGCGCAGCTCCAGCGGCGCCTCGCCGTGCGCCATGGCGTCTGGCGACTGTTTGGCGACGCGCTGGTCCTTGTAGGCCAGCAGCTGGCCCTCCTGCAGCACCATGAACAGCTTCTCCCACGACCTGACGACGACCGACGCCGCAGATGTCAGGGCTTTGTGTGAGATGCAAGACTTACTGGGTGGTTGGAGAGATGTGAAACACGGGGGTCGATGCAAGGCAAGGGCTCTTTACTGGACAGTTATAGGCTTGAAATGTAAGACACAGGCTTTGTCTTTATTGCTTTCTTCGTTGACTTCATTATTGGCGAGTTTTTTAACAAGCTGAACACTAGACTGTAACGAGTCTCGTGAAACATACATTAAAATATGATCATTATTGGAGCCTGATGACTTCATGAGACATTTCTGAAAGGTACGTGAATTAGTTCCACTATCAGGAGCGTCATGGTCACCTGTTGGAGGCCTTCTTGACGGTGGTCTCCCACTCGTGCTTCCTGTGCAGGAACCCTTCCATGAGCGATCCCTCTCCGCCGGGACTCGGGCGCTCTGCCGGGTCGGGTCAGCACGTCAGTGGAACCTTAGGCTGAGCACGAGGTCACAGTTATTAGCAAATGGACCTTTTTGCAAGATTCGGGACACTGATCACAGTACATTCAGGGGGAAATGAGATGTCATTGGTTGCAGTGACTCAAATATGATCAGATAATAGTATAATCTTAGCAACGAGCAACGCCCTAAAGCATCAATATCCCACAGTTTGATGGTCAAATATATCGAACACTTATTCTATATCCCTAGTCCCTAGGCACATCCGAATAAAGACTGAGACAGCGGACTGATCCCGCAGCAGCGTACTCCGCAGCGGACTCTCCACAGCAGTGTATTCAGTCAGTCTCAGTCAGACGGACGGCACACGTCGCAGGCCGAGGCGGGGCGGGGCGGGACGGTGCGCGGTGCCCGTGGGACAGGCAGGCGGCAGGCCGGGCGGGACAGGCGGGGGCAGGCGGTACTCACCGGCGGCGGCAGCAATGTTACCCTCGTCATCGCTGACGCTGCCCACTTCGGGCGGCGGCTTCGACTTCTTGAAGCGGAAGCTGCGGAACGGCGACTTGGAGCGCGAGCGAGACTTCTTTTTCTCGGAGGCGGACGAGCCGGCTGCGGGAGCGACACTGACAGCTGAACGGACCGAGCCGCGCACAGCGGGCGACCAGCGCGACGGCAAGCCCGCACGACACACAAGCCCCACCGGGCCAAGCACACGGCGCCGCAGCGACGGGGGCGACTGAGCGAGTCGGCACAAAGCCCACAGACGTGTGTGTGCTCCACAGGCCAGGACAATAATAAGCGACACATGTGTCCTTTAAAGGTAACCACGCAAGATGTCTGAATAGCCATACGAGATGTCTGACACAGCGATGAAAATATGTGCCTGAAGTTGACATTCTAAAGGCCATCATTCATACGGTTTCCACGATTTCCACTATTTCGAACTACACCACCACCAATCCAGATGAAGGACAACCATTAGATAATGCAGTCATATAGACCCAACAAGCCACCGATTTAGTAGAAACGCCCAAACTATGTCCATATTACAGTGCCCGGCGATTTGAATGCACCTTTAGGCAGATATTATTCACGAAGCCTAGATTTCAGGCAGACGAGACCCAGGCATTGTACGAGCAAGTTTCATTGGATGAGTGCTGGTTTGCCCAAGCCAAGCTTTCGCCCATTCCACCTGTCACCCAAGCCAGCATACTTCCTTCCACCAGCGTAGACCAGCCCGAAGAAGCTGAGGCTCGTTCGAAGCATCATTCCCATCACCGAAGCTCAGGACAGCACATTTCCCGTAGTCAATACTCAATACCATAAAGGGAAGCAGATAGCCACAGCGGAGCGTGAAACCTTTCCAGCCGATATTCACACTACACAGTTTGTCCGGCAGTTCGGCGTCGCACCCAGTACTAGCCCAGCAGCTGAGACTCGAGGCCAGCGAAAGACCTTTCTCTTAGGACAGAACCAGCCCGCGACAAGCAGCAGCCCAATATTCACACGGCCAAATGGTCATCCATCACCGAAACCAGAGCCAGACCGCAAATGACTCTAAAGGAGTGTCCAGCACCAGGCCCCATATCGAGCACGCCACCAGCACCGATCGAACAGCTATGTAATCCGTGAGTCAGCCTCTCAGCAAGGCCAGGGAGCGGTCAGTATTTCCAGCATGAAGGATTGCGCCTTCCTGAAGGTGAGCCAACACCACTTGCTACCGCACCAAGTGAGACAGAAAAAAGGAAGGACAGAAAAGAGATAAAAACTATAAAACATTTTAATGACGAACATAAGGGACAACAAACAAAAGCGAAGTATGCGTAAACAGAAGCGAGATAAAGCGGAAATCATACATGGAAGCAAAACAAAAACGCGAAAATGGCCAAAGATAATACAAATAGGATGACATAGGGGAATAAACAAAACGGAGAAAGCAGTCATGATGTCGGTTAGGATACAGAGAGCCAGAGACAGAGATAGAGCGCCCTCTACCAAAGAGACTGTCGCAGAGACGCCAGCGCAGCACCGCCAAAGTCGGAACCCTCTGGCAGAATATCAGACAGCGGCAGCGGCAGAGAGCCTTCCAGCGGCGACCCAACACAGAACTCTCCCGAGAGCCGCCGAGACGCCGACAGACTGTACAAACCACCCCAGAGAGAGAGGCCGCCCAGAGAGCAGACTCTACACCATACTCACTGCGAGAGACGGAGGCGGAGGCCTTGGGAGCCGCGGCGGCCGCGGCGGGGGCGGCGGGGGCGGCGGCCGCTGGGGAGGCGCGCGGGGCCGGCGCCGGCGCGGCGGCG